ATCTTACTTTGTATCCAACCATTTTCATAGACTTGGAGGACGTGGAAGAACCTCGGAAATTATGGAATATATCTTTTTTATTTCTAGCTAAACTCTCTGAGTAGATGACTAGACGTGTTACATTATTTCATCATTATCTGTGAACATAGAGGAGCCAGGTCCAGTGGAACTGTTCAGTACCACCAGGCAGGAAGTTTCAACTCTTATTCAGCCCAAATCTCACTGCTTTCAGGAGAAGTGTAGAAAAACAGATCACCATGCTATCTACCACAACCTTTTATATATTAAAGCCACTTTCTGTTTCAGTTGGCTATCAGTGTAAACCAGCTATCAGTGCACCTTCATCTAGCCATAAATTCTTGGAAAGCCAAAAGCCAGGTGAGGCTATGCAAACCAGCTTTTTTTCCATTGCTAGAGCTCTTATGTGTAATCAAGAAGCCAGATTTTCTCATATTATGATTTTCTCCTACTGTGAATTTCTCTTTCCCACCCCACCCCCAAAGAAAAGAAAAAGAAAATCCATAGTATTAACAGTATGGAAGAAACTTTGGTCATGTGCTCCAAAGCACACTGTACTTTTTCTTGGTTGTACTTGTCATGCCTGTAAATTCATGTCATTTTTAAATGCCTGTCATCCTCATTGAAATGTAAGCGCCATGAGGGTAGATACCAAGCCTGCCTTGCTCATCAGCATTTTTCCTGTATCTATATATTTAGCACACACAGTCTCTTCATACCTGGAGAACTGACAAATACCCTTCAAAATCACTCTACTCCAACACTCCTATTTGGAAGATATGAAAACAGAGTCTGTAAGTCATTCTTGGAAGTGATTTCCCCAAGATTGTACAACATGTTAATGGCAAAGCCATTAGAACTCTGGATTGTTTGGTTTTTTTTTTTGCTATACTTTTATCAAAATTTTATTTGGTATGAGAGAAAATCAATATACCTCATTCAAAAATAAGATTTAAGAATAGCCTAAATATACTCTTTAGGACTCCCCCAAATTTCTCTCATTTGTCAGACATAATATCTTCAGAATTTTTTGTTGAACTAATTTACAGATCTATATTCCATGACCCCAATGACACTAAAGCAACCCCTTGATCAGGAAACGTTCTTTATCTGAATATAGCAGGGTCTATCATTAAAGCAGTCCTACTGGCAGATCCTGATTGCTCCTCCAGAAATGTTGTCATGGAAGAAAGCCCACTATCGGTCATCCAGACTAGAACACTGGATTCTTTATTGCCCACTCATGTTCTCTGTCCATTATGTCCCAGAGGTTCTTTCATCTAATACCCTGGGCAGGCAGCACAACCAATGAGTAAGGTACAGAAACCTTTGTGATCGAAACATCTTTTGGTTGGCTGCCTGGTTCCCAGTGTTCTTTATCAGTTGGAACTTAAAACCTTCCCATAAATATGCCTGATTTGTACATACTTTATGTAGGACTCTAAGAACAGAACCCCGAATGGAATTGTACAGCCACAGGAAAGAGCCGATTTATTCTCTCCTATGAAGGTCAAGTTTTACAGAGGCCAAGCCACAGATGACAGCTGAATTTCCATGGTTCAGCTACTGTTAAATCAAATATGCTGCTAAACAGAACTCTAATTTGTACGGTTTTTAAATTTTTATTTCAAGGTTTCTTTAAAGCAAATGTTCAAGAAATAGAGCTTCTCCTGAGCACATGAAAAAAGTAAATGTGAATTTTGGAGAATGATGAAGTGATCTAAAATTGGACTGTGGTGATGGTTGCCCAGCTCCATAATTTTTTTTTTAATCTTTAAGTCATACACTTAAATATTATAAAATATATTTCAATAAAGCTGTTAAAAAATAAGTGTGAAAATGAGTCAGATAAAGTGCTTCTTTTTGTAAACATGTGGTACGAAGACTGTAAGTACATTCTTTATCCCCATACTCTTTTAAGCCCAGGTTCTACCTACTTCAATCATGGCTTACCTCAAGGTCAAAAGTTTTTCCTATAATTTTGGTAAAAATAATTTAGTAGACTAATACAATATCTTCACTGATATAGCACCAAGAGATACTGACTCATTTGATTATCTGCATGAATGATCTACAGATATATTTGTTTAATTAAGCATATGGTGTTCTAGTCCAAAAGCTGCCATTAACTAGCCACGAGGCTTTGAGCAAGTTATACATCTTCAGGCCTCCGTTTTCCCACCTATATTATGTGTCCCCATGGACACATTAGAGTCAAGTAACACACAATATATTAAAAAGAATAGTAACTGCTATCATCTGATGAATGGCCAATAATACGCCAGACTTCAGGTAAATTATCAACCTATGAGGAAGGTAGCAGGATTCCAATCCAGAACTGTCCAGCTCCAAAACCTATACTCATTCTCAATTCCTCATTCGACTTTGGGTTTTGATTCTGTCAGATGTGGGCATGAATCCTGACCTTGACTTTACTATGTTAAGTTAGTCACCTTCTCTGAGTTCAGCTTCTCCATCTGCAAATTGAGATTACTAATACTTAACTCTCGGGGATGTTGTGAAGATTAAATGAGAGAATGCTTGAAAAACCATTCAATGAAAACCATTCAATGAAAAACCATTCGGTAACAGTCTTTCTCATGCCTCTCCCACAAAAGTTCCTTCTTGTGCTAAAAAAAAAAAAAAAAAAAGCTTTCAATTCTATGATTTCTTGTAGCCTACCTGGATAAACTTCACTGGGACTGAATTCTATCAAAAGTGAACATAAACAACACAGCATTAGTCCTTGCTATCAGTCCTTGGCTCTGTGACGGAGACTGTCAACAAGAGTGTCAACTTCAAGGGGTGGGCATCTGTCCACAGGAACTGAGCTGAGGTCACAGACTTGTCTCACTCTGCCCTATGAACAGATGTCTGGGTAACAACTCTTAGTCACTGTAAACGAAGGTAAAAGCCAAACCAGGTGGGAAGTATTGTATCTACTTTCTAATCCTCTTGGCCAGCCCATTCATTCCCTAAAACAATATCTCACTGACCATAATTCAAAATAGCTGGTTTTCCCCAGGATACTATTTTCAACATAATGCCTTTATTTTGATGATGTCTAATTATTCCACAAGCAGAAGAGAGTGTTTCTGTAACAGTGATTTGTCAGCAAGAAACCTGTTTAATTCTGTGTGTTGGAATATGCACCTTCAAAAGTTTACCTCTCAAGTAACCTGGTGAAAACTGGTGTAATGTGGAGCTCTAGTGGTGGCAAGAAAGTAAAGCAGCCATTAGGGAGAGCCAACAAAAACGCCAAGGAAATCACCATTTATTATTCATTTATTTGTTATCATGGTGAAATCACCATTTATTGTTAAATTAATGTTAAGAAGAAAAATGGTTCAAAATGATCTTCCGAGATAATATAAGGTGAACTCTAAATGTAATGACTTTCTTCCAGATTACAAATTAGACCTCAACCACCAGCTTACATCAAACATCATGAAGCAGTTAAAATACCCAAAAAAAAACCTCAGGGCTGTGGTTGTCACTTTTCTACTTTTTACCAAGTTCACTAAGAATCCAATTAATTAAATACCAGTTATTTTTCACACAGCTAGCAAGAGTACTGTATACAGAAAACACTGGATTCTCAGTGGTATGATCAGTGAAGTCCTGTACCAACTGTCTTGGGAATTTAAATAATCCCTACAGGCCGGTGAGGTTGTTATGAGTTAATTCCTGCACTAGAAAAGTGCCTTCTTTGAATTTCTGACTTCTGAGGTCTTTCCCAACTTAAAACAACTAAGAATGAAACCTACAATGTAAAACATTAACTCTTTGTTTTCCTGTTACCTAATGTATATGTCTTCTCAATTGAAAGGGCTTCAGTTTTAAAAAATACAGCTCCATTATGGTCAACAATATAGCAGAACATAAATAGTAAAAATTTTATGATGTTCAATCAGGAGTTGACATTTGAAATTTCTAAACATTGTGCCTGGTTTAGCTGTGTCAAAACAAATTAGCATGAGGCAAAAAAACCTCAGAATGTGAAAAAAATTCAGGAACTAGCCTTTCCATACAGTGTAAGTATCTAAGTATCATGTTCCTAAACATGAAAAACAATGTAAGAGACTCACTTTTCTATACATAATGATAAAAGAAACTAAAATGTTCATAAATACATTAACACCATTTATCTGAAACAAAAATCTCAAGACTCATGGAAGTTTTTCATGACTTCTATCAGTTGAATCCACCAGATATTTTCCAATGGATATACTCCAAGGGCTTCCAAATTTTAGGTCTACAGATGACTGACTACCAAGCCTCAGAGGTCTGTGAAGGAAGATTTAATGATTACCCAGGGGGTTTTATTCATCAATGTCTCTCTTCTTCATCCTTCTACTAATATGTTGTCATTAAATTAATATAGTTCCCTAAAGCCACACAGAAAAATGGTAAAAATATAAGATCCTTTTCTGAGAAGTCATTGAGAATGCAATAGTTTGTAAAGAACAGCTCAAGATAAAGAACTAATTTCCTTTCAGTCCTCATTCCTATAGGATAGGCGAGAGAACCTTTCTGATAGAAAATAAAAGCAGGCAAGGTCTACTAACATAATCGTTTGTCAAACAGAAACCTGTACTAATGCAACATTAGCCACTAAGGAATTCAAATCTAACGTGTTCTGCAGTCCTTTTCACCATAGATATCAAAATTGAATAACACGGAAGAATAATTTTCCATCTTTGAATCTAAGAACTTTGTCTTTGGACATCATCTTGCCTGTATTTTCTTTGGTGATTATCTCTATCTTCTTTGCTTTCCCTTAACAGACCTTGGTATGCTGCTTAAAATAATATCTGGGGCTTTATTTGCCATCCTTTTACCCAGACATGTTGATTTTATTAAAGTAAGTTGGGTCTGCATTCTTTCTTTACTATTATTACAGGTAGACTTGACAGACACAGGACCTTTGTTTTAAAATGCTCTGCTGTGGAGGAAACCTTGTGAAATAAGTTCCATTTTACCTGCTGGGCAGTTGCACTCTGAAGGTGCTTCTCTTGCGATTCTTATTTTAGCCATATGTTCATAGGATTTCTGTAGGAAAAGAAGAGGTATTAACAATCATCAGTAGTATTGCAGAAAAATGGATTCTTCAGGAACTCTGGCCATATGCCTGATTTACCAGCCTGCATAACTAACGTTTACTATATGTACTTGGACTTTAGTCAAAAGGTAACAGTACCCAAGTCCTAAAAAAAGAAAATGACCATTCACATGGTATCAAGACTGTTGGATTTGTGTAACATCTTTCTCCATTCTTCAACTACCATCACCCTCTCTCTCAGCTCAGGCATATTCAGTCAGTGCAAAAAACCAGCATTAACATGTTGCAGTTCTAGGTAAGCTAGGGGTTTTAAAACAACCAGTATTTTACACATAAAGGTCAACTGCTTATCATGTTGTCCTGCCACTACTGCCAAACAGCCTCTCCCTTGGAAGAGCAAGTTCCAGAAAACCCCCTAACTGTAGTTAAAACACCCCTGGTTTTGATAAACATAACACAGATTCCTTTCAACTCTCAACTCCAATGGCTCTGCATTCACAAACACCCATGGCACTGCATCCTTTACAAAAAACTCAAGCTACTATTTTTTTTTCTTTTTAAACATTTAATATGAAAACATTCAATGTGTGAAATAATTGATCTAAAATCATATGTAGAATTATTTCACTTTTAAGAGTGATTCTCTTTTGCATATTAATAACACCTATGGCCCTAACCTTCTTATACCTTAAAAAGGATATAACAGATGTTATCTCTGCAAGGAATATTCTCCACAACATTGGAAAAGATCCACATGCAACTCCAGAAACTAAAAAGAGCTGAAATGCCACCCTGCCCTTTCGGCCACCCTTCCCCCCTTTAGACCTCCATATATGTTTAGCATGCAAACATTAAGAAGAGTAAGGGAAGATGATAGAGACAGAGAGGGTGATATCAAAGTGTGTGCATATACAAATATATGCTACAGTGAGCAGAGATGGTGGCCTAGCATATATGTGTACACACAGCCATATCACGTCTGCACACAGTAAGGCAGAGGCTGGTCATGTACACAGAATCACGCCTGTGCAAGATGTTATCCACGTGCAAAACACCCCAGCCTTTCACACCTGAGCCAGAAGTCGCTCCACTTTCTCTTGCACCATTGCTTTGAGCTGATCCAGACAATCAGGCAGCAGACGGATGGAAGGGTCTCCTTTGGCGGATTCGAGGGCGGCGATCCTCGCCTGGAGGTCGTTGGTTTTCACCCCCAGGTACAGACAAGATATCATGGCCACTACTGACAGGAGGGCGGCCAGGGCGGCGCATGGGGACACGGTCCGGACACAACGCTGCCCGGCTGGGCTCCGGTCCTCGGAGCCCGGCTCCCGCCCCCCTCCTTTCCCTGCTTGCTTCTTCACCAGCATCGTGGCGGGTTCGGCTGTCTCGGCTTCGCCTCCCACCCTCTACCACCTCCAATAATCGTAAAAGAAAGAAAAAGGACGTTTCCTCCAAAGTTCAGTCCCGGTGGCTGCACAACTAGTTGGCGGAGTCGGAGCCGGGGCGCGGCGATGGATCAGCGCCGAGACCCGCAGACGTGGACCATCCTCCGCTTTCTTCTCCCCTCCCAGCTGCGAGTGAAAAGCACCCTCTGTCCGGGGACTGGTGGCAATAAGCTAAAATCCGGAATGAAACCCACCCGGGTGTCCCTCCTGGCCCCTCAAAGGACGTGGACCTCCTCTGAGGAAAGCGGCCGCGCGGGGTCCAAGAGACAGCGGCCAAGGCGCTGCGAGGGGCCGCCGCTCGCCCTCGCCGCAGAGCACCGGACCTGTTGCGCCTCTGTTAGTTTGCCTTATTTCTACCTATTCGGTGTCTTTCCTCACGCCGACCTGTTTCCCACCTGGATTCAGTTCCAGGTGAAAGGGCTGAGAGAGACCACGAGAGTGCAGTGCAAAAGGGGTGGCCAAGGGGGAGAGGAGAGAGGAAAACGAAATCCCCAAGGAGAAAATGCGAGTCGCGAGGCCGAAGTCGCGGCTGCCCGAAGTATCTCCGCAGCCTCGCGTTTGCGAGCCTTAAATACCCTTCGGGATGCTCGTGTGTGAGTGTGTGTGTGAGCGTGTAAGTGCGCGCGCGCTCCGACAGCGGCGTCCCTCCCCCGACCCCCTCCCGGCGCGAGGCCTCCAGCCCGCGGCTCCTACTGCAGTGCGCCCCCCTTCCCAAGCCCGGGCAGAAGCCCGCCTCATTAGCATAATGTATTCACCTTCGCACAGCCCGCGGGCGGGGCCGGGGAGAACCCCCGAGGGGCGGGCGGGGAGCTCGGTTGGGAGCTGAGCCCCCATAATATATGCAAATAGCTGGAGCGGCCACGGCGATTGGAGAGGAGCTTGGCGACCCCTCCCCCCTCTACGGAGTTACTTCAGCTTCCCCTAAGGCCACTTCTCCCGCCTAGGCCGGGGGCCGAAGAGAGGTCTGCTGCGGGGGGAGGCGGCAACTCTGGCTTTTTCTGACTCGGCTCCGCGCCCCTTCTTTATCCCGGTTAAATATGGAGAAATGGCCTCCAGGAGGAAAGACGGGAAGCAGAAAGCTCTAGCGCTCTAGGTCTTCCCTCTAAATCAACGGCGGTAGCTCTAGCGCTCCCGTTCTGGTGCAGCCTTCTTCCCTCCTCCCTCACCTTCCCACATGCCCAGAGGCCAAGTGTCTGGCTGACGCCTGAAGTATTAATACATTTCCCCACTTCACTTATCTTCCCACGGCCGCGCTGCGGTCTCCGACTAGGGGAAGTTTTTTCTCCCCTCCCCCAGTATCCTTCTGTCTTGACGGGGCTGAGACTCCTTCCCGCCCTGTGTTCCTAGTCCATACGCGGGTGCTAATGCATTTTCCTGATTCCCTGTTTTGTGGGATTGAAGAAGGGAGTGTTAAGGTACACACGTTTCTCAGGATTTCGGAAAGAACTGAAGAATGATGTCAGTTTTTCCTCTTACCTGACTCTCCTCATGCTGCTCCCTCTGGATCAAATTACAAGTTCTCTAAGGGGATTTTTGAAAGTAGGTAACAAGTAGCATTCTACATCTAATTGACTTTGAAGAAAAAAAAAAATCCCGCTTCTTACTCCAAAAAGTTCCTCCTTATCTCCTTCTCCTCATGAGAAATATCGTATATTTTTCATATCCTTTTTAATCAAGTTAACCTCAGGTTGCTGCTCACTACTGTAAACCAACAAAATACTACACTAAACTGATCTTTCATAAATGCAAACTGGTATTGCTAGGTATGAAGCAGGGTAAAGATGTTTGAACAACGTTGTTGATGGAGGATACAAGCTTGAAAACATTAGGGGATTGAAACAGACACAAATCAGAGGAAAACAGTGAATTTTGCTATAAAATCAGAAGCCTAATTCCGTACACTTGTATTACACAGTAGTTCTCAAAGAGGGGCCCCAGACCAGCAAGATCCATATCTTCTGAGAATTTATGCAAAATTCAGATCCTAGGACCCCACCCAACATCTACTGACTCAGAAACTACTACTATTACTAATGAATCAGAAACACAGCAATCTGTATTTTAACACATCTGCCTAATGATTTTGAGGCACACTAAAGTTTCAGACCACTGGAGTAACACTTTACAAAATATTTTGAAATACACTTTTTCATTTGAACCTCATAATCCTGTGATGCAAGTAAGGAATTACTGGCCCCATCTTATATGTAAAGAAACAATTTTCAAGTCACATTTAATTGTGATTAAATGTGTTTCCAATAATAGCACCCAAGGTGTGGGTACAAATTTTTTAACATGTCAACTCTTTCAGATTTTTCAATTACCTCTCTAACCATTTCTTAGTCTTCTTTGCAGGCTTTTCCTCTGCCTATCCTCTAGATGTTGGTGTTCCTCGGGACTCTATCTTAACGCCATTTTCTCTTCCGGGGCCCCCAACCCCCACCGGGATCTAACGCCTGACGATCTGAGGTGGAGCTGATGTAATAATAATAGAAATAAAGTGCACAATAAATGTAATGAGCTTGAATCATCCCGAAACCATCCCTACCCCGCCCACCCACCACCCACCCCACCCCCCGGTCTGTGGAAAAATTGTCTTCCAGGAAACCAGTCCCTGGTGCCAAAAATGTTGGGGACCACTGCTGTACACTATCTCCAGTAGCGCTGTCAGTTACTGTCCTTATACTGGTGAGTCATAAACCCATATTACAAGCCCAAACCTCTCTCCTGAGCAATATAACCATTTCCACTTGGATGTCCTGTAAGCAATTCCAACTTGACCGGCATCTTACCTCCAAATTCTATTCTTCCTCGTTTATTTTCCATTTCAGTAAATGGAGCCACTGTTAATCCAGCATCCCCAAGCCAAAATACCGAGTAAACAACCTTTGACTTCTCCTGTATCCTCCCCTCCCCATCTACCTAAATTCCTTCAGTACTTTATATTGTCCTGAGGGTGGAAATGATGTCTTACAAGTCACCACCTGGTGTCTGTCATCTCACCTACCTCTTCGCTCATCTTTCCCCTTACACTCTCCGTGCCAGTTTCTCTAATGAAAGTAGAGAGAAAAAGAGTATGAAGAACTTTTCTTTGCGGCAAGGCATCATTCTCTTAAAATTTCAATAGAAAGGCCACTTTCTGTGCTGACTGATGCTGACAGTGGGTCACACGTTTAATTTGGATGATGCAATGTTCTTATATCATACTTTGTGGAAATTGACCGTGAGAAGGTACATTAACAACTCTTGCAGGCTCTCAGAACTGCCAGATCTTAGTGGAAAGATAGAGTTCGAATTTTATGGATTTGGGATCTTTATCCAGAGGATTCGTTTTACTTTCTTAGGTGGGCACAATACCCCAGAAACGTACCAGTCATTAGCGCTAGGATTTCAAGCCTGGTAGATTCTCTGCATCAAGCACAGAGAATGTGTGGATCAAGAAAGCTCTGGGCATTTGAACCCATGTTGTTCTGTAGATTCATCGGAGCACGGTTGTTGTTTTGGTTCCCATGTGGAGAAGGATTCAAAAAAGTAAAAATAGCACGAAAAATGGTAGAGTCTAGCTGACTCCAGTTTATCAACTAGATGATATCAATGATATCAATAGGAGTAAAAGGCAGGCAGCTGGTTGTAGAACAGGTATGTGACTGGAAGAATAATGGACTCCCAAAGATGTCCATATCCTAATCCCCAAAACCTGTAGTGGGGAATGTTACCTTACATGACAAAATGGATTTGCAGATGTCATTAAGTTACGTATCTTGAGATGGGGAGATTTTCTTTGATTATGTAGGTGGGCCCAATGTAAAGGGAGGCAGGATGTCAGAGCAGGACCCTATGGTCCTTGCCCCCACCCCCCACCATGTCCTCTGCCTGCCTTTTGTCTGTGGAGAAACTTTAGCCAAAGAATAATTTTAACCAGAGAAGTGAGAAAATGCAGAAACAGAGGAAAACAGTCAAAGGAGATCAAAAAATAATAGTTTAGTCATGAAGCATAGTCAAGGACCTTTAGTTCCTCCTTAAGGGCTGTAGATAATATTCTGAGCCATATCCTGTGAGCTGTCTTGTAGATACAGAAATCCCCACCAGGTGGAAGAAGTTAACTACCTGATGACCAGCCTGTAGCCATGACATAAGCTGCCACGATTCCGAGAATTGGCCTCAAAGAAACAGAAACCAACCCTGGAACTGAAGATAACTGCACCTACCACAATCAAGATGACGCTCGTCAGACCACTGATGACCAAATTCAAGATGACTGTCAGAGCTGACTGTACTGTTTCTACATGTCGCCCCCTCCCTCTGCCTATAAAAGCTCTCGCCCACTGGTTGTAGGAGGGGGAGAGTCGGCATTTGGACAGGCATCTGCCCTCCCCACCCTCTGGATGCCGGCACCCAAAATAAAGCAAACTTTCCTTCCCACCAACCTGGCCTCTTTATTGGCTGTTGAGCGGCGAGCAGCCGGACCCCACTTTCGGTGACACTTGTAAGAGGAAGGCAGGGTTTCAGAGTAGGCGGAGGTATGACACCAGAAGCAGAGGTCAGAGTGATGTGAATACTAGCTTTGAACTTGGAAGCCAAAGACTGTGGGCAGTCTCTAGAAGCTGAAGAAGTCAAGGAACAAATTCTCCCCTAGAAGGAACGCAGCTTCGCCAGTTCTTTTACTTGAGGGCTTTTTATCATCAGAACTATAATTAATAAGTTTGTGTTGTTTAATTCACTCAGTGTGTGGTAATCTGTTACAACAGCAGTAGAAAACTAACAGAATCAGTCGCAAGAAAATCAGTCTTCATCTGCTACAGCATCCTAAGTGGTATTGAAAACACCATAATGCCCGGCAGGCCCCGCCATAACAGCCTCTGTCTCTCCAATGTTTACGCATTCCTATTTTACTGACATGCCCACTGGGAAAGAATTGGAAAGATACGCCTTCTCCCATCTCATGTGAAATTAGGATGCCCTCTATTGAGACAGATTAAACTGAATAAACTATGTTCTATTTCTTTGATGCCTCCCATTGGTACAAGTCAAAAACAATAAACTAGTCAAGCGATACGTCCACTCTCATCTCTCCTCCTACTAATGCTAGCCTAGCCAGGATCCTGACCCAGGACTCAGCACTTCCTCTAGAATTCCTGTTACCAATCTCCAGGCCCCAGAAAAAAAGAAACAGACAAAGACTTCTGACAGAGAAACATGGCAGGAAGTTAAAGTGAGAAAGAAGGTGAGTGGGAGAAAAACAAGATAACGAGAAAATGAAGATAGAAGAGCTTTTTTTAAAATAAATTTATTTATTTTTGGCTGCGTTGGGTCTTCGTTGCTGAGCATGGGCTGTCTCTAGTTGCGGCGAGCAGGAGCTACTCTTCATTGTGGTGGCTTCTCTTGTTGCGGAGCAGGGCTCTAGGTGCGCGGGCTTCAGTAGTTGTGGCTCGTGGGCTCTAGAGCGCAGGCTCAGTAGTTGCTCCACGGCACGTGGGACCTTCCCGAACCAGGGCACGAACCCATGTCCCCTGCATTGGCAGGT